TATATGCTTTTTACTTAAAAAAAAATATGTCGCCTTAGCAACTAGGCAACAAGGCGCCCCCTATCGACTATTATAATCATTTCCCTTTTTAAGCTCTTTACTTTCAAAAAGAAAAATATGCTATTACCCACAAAAATATACATCTCCACTATTATGGAAGGGGAAAAACTCTGTTATTTTGGGCTCTTTAAGATTGGTTTTGCATAAAAAATATGAAGCTATATCTGTTACACCAAGTCGTCATCACCATCTAAGACTTATCCCAACTAATATGGGGTCAGCTACATGAATCCTGTTCTGCCATTCCGCCTTGCTCAGTACCATATACATTATTAAATTGTGGGCCCCTAAATCATTTCTTACTGCTTCAACCCATGTCTTTTTTTTAGTTAAGTAAAAAAGGATTTTTAAAAAAAAATAAAAAAAAACAGGAAATATACAAAGAAGATTCTGAAAAGGAGGTGCAAGATGCAGCCTCAGAAACAATCAAAAAACTCAAATTACAATTGGGCCCAAAACATATATTCCCTACACACCCCTTGCTTGGCTAAGTAATCTGCTATTTAGTTGACCTCCTTTGCCAAAGGATCCTTAAGAGTCATATTATTTATTAGCCATTTAAATCTTTTCACAGCTTCCCTATAAATCCATACAACAGTGTATTTGTCAGCCACCCAACTACTATCAGATTAGAGTCTCACTCAATTACCAATCTGTCACAAGCAGCTGTCTTGCAAACTGCACTCCTTGCAGTTATATTAAACTTGTTTACGAGGTTAACTTGTTAAACCAAAGCTTTATAAATCTTGCATAAGTATTACATTAAACTTGTTTATGAGGTTAATGGCTAGACAATGCCAAGTTTCTCTTGCTTTCTGTTTTAGTTATAAGAGTCCAAGAATTCAAGGGGCACTAGATTATTGCTTTTTCTTTTGCTTTGGTTATCATATTTTAGATGCAAGAACAGTAATTAAATTATCTGATTAGATGAAACAGTGTTAGAACCATGTCAATACACCAAAACAAATTCTGACTCAAGGTATTAACAACTTAATTTAGCAAGACAATCATTTGTATGTCACAAGGCAGAAAAGGGCAGAGACCACTTATTTTTGCATTAAAAAAATTATATCAGTTTTTTTCCTTATTCATCTTCCAAGTTAATTGGAGGTTTCCATAAACAGTATTTGAAGAGACCTGCTATTGCCTTTGAATTAGAAGGTGTCATCTTATGGGGTAGAATCCTCTTTGCTACTTTATGGGGATTGAACAAGGAATTCTTTAAAAAAAAAATGAGGTTGCTAAACAGAGTATGCAAAGATATTAGGTCATTTATTATTGACTGGGCATTGATGCATGAACATTAAGGGCATAAATAGGTTGGATTCTAAAGATAATTGGGAGGATATAGTGTATCACTAATTGTAATTTTTATGCATAGACTGTGAGTTGCTTCCATCCTCTTTTTTTACATTTTCTCATGCATGATCATGCCTTTCCCAGGGGAAGAAACAGGCTGAAGAGAACTAGGTTGCATTTTGTTTAAGTCACTTAATGAAATTGCAAAAGTAAATGTTTTCAGTGCAAATTCAATAGTGTACTCTGGAAAGTAATGAATAAAAATAAATAAAATTTACAGTTTTTTTTTTCAGTTCTTCCTTTTTTACTTGATAATCCAATACAAAATGTATTGTTATTAATTATTATGTTAAAAGAACAATAATAAAATAAAATGTGAAAGAACATCAACATGGGAAATTACAGTGACAATGTGCTTTTAGCAGGCTCCCTCTTGTTTGTTTCAATATTCAGAAAGGCAATCAGAATGCTATTTGTTTAGTCCAGAAAAAATGAAAGGGAGAGAAATCCAAAGCAGATAGTTGAGGATTGCTTGAAATCTCATCACATCCCAAAAGAATTAAAGAATGATAGTTAATAAAACAAATGAGGACACAAAGCCAGAAAAATAAATGAAACCAATAAAAGAAAACAGTTTATTGAATTCCTCCCAAGTCTGGACAATAGTGAAGCATAAAAGCCCAATACAGAAACATTTCTTGAATGCAGGCAAGCATGCTTTTATGCTTGGAATGCAAGCAAGCATATTCTACTTACCAGGTTAAGCTAGGCATCCATTTTTTCACCCTTTTGGATCAGTACCAGACTTTTATGGACTTTTTATTCACCAATTAATATTGTCTATCTTGATATGAATTGTACATTTTCAAAACAAATTATACAAGCCCATTTCTGGACTAGAGCAGGTGCTTAAATAAACATATACCTTGCAAATTAGTTCTGTTTGCTTTTTGCTGCTTTAATTAACTAAGAATCAAGAACAAGATGACTTCATGAGAACCAAGTTGACAAGGTTGGTGTACCAGTCAAGAGAAATTAGCTACAAACAGTAAGAAATGAAGAAGGGCAAATTGGTGATCTTTTTGAGGGGAAAAATTAGCTACCATGAATCCTAGACCAGCCTGTTTAGGTGGGCATATAAAGGCATAAATATAGTACCATCCTTACAATGTATTACAAATCAATAGGAGAAAGAGCATGGCAAAGAAAATGCCAGACTATTAAATAAGTTCTTACTTCATCCTTTCAGCCTTTGTTGATATGCTTGAAGAGGTGGATTTTATAAATAATATTTTTGTATGCTTTAAAAACCCAGAGACATCATAACACTATTCTTTTGTTTCAGAACACATCTAATTAGTTTCACAATCCCATGCATAATATGCTTTCAATTGATGACAATAAGTTAAAACAAACATGGAGCTCAAGATCCTTCTTGCACATTTAAAACGAAATCAGTCTCCCTTGAGTAACAAAATCAATAATATCTTAAGTCCAACAGAATAAAGGGTTAATTGATGCTACTAGTGTATAGGAGATTGAGGATCTGGTGCTCAAGATAATAACTTCCTTCTGAAGGTGGGAGTATATAATTTGTATTACTGAAAGTTAAAAGGTGTATATGGGATGATGTACAAGGGGACCAAAAAAGACAAGGAAAAAAAAACTCTAGCCTAGACCTGCAAGCCCATCTGCCATAGAATTCAATTCCCTATGAATCCATCTAAGATAGGCTTGCAGAGAAACAAGATCTCTGGTTTCGTTCAGAAAATGTGCCCATTCCATTCCATAGGCCCTTTCTAATTGCTTTGCTCCACATTATTGCTAAAAATAAGAACTTGGCATCAAATCATCAACTTCATTATATTGATCAGTTAGGATTATCTGACCAACACAGTTTAACAAAGGCTTGGTTAATAAAAGAAAACGTGTTCCATTTGGCAAATCAACCATTTAATTAATCAAGGAAGAAGTTAATCTAATTTAGCATTCCAGAATTATTAAGGTGAATTCCATACTAGTGTAGTAACATTGATTAGAGAAAATACATTTTATGTAAGGTTAACACATATTAGTTCTTGGTAGCCTGCACCATGCCAATTTAAATAATTACATTCCCAAAACACCAATCCAAATATGAAATATGTAATTCTATTCAAAGTCAATTCATATAGGATGTCCATAAATTTAGTCTCACACTTAAACACTTCTTTATCCCCCAAATAGCAAATTTGCAAATGAAACCTTAAGCAGCCAAAGACAGAGTGAGCCATAATTACAAGTTAGTTCATTTTCTATGAGATTCTACACACTTTCCCTCGTTTTCTTGATTGATATCAAGAAAACATGCATTTCTTTGGAGAAATTAATTCAGACATTAACATTTTCAAGTGTTAACATTACATTACAATTATGTCGACCTCCTCTTGGATTGGTGAGTGATAATGTATTAAAAACAAATCCCAGAATGTTAAGATGCTTCCTGTGATAATTGTTCATGGTGTTCCTCCGAGGAAGTTATCATTTTATGATGGCACATATAAGAAAGAAGCTTTAAGATGCATTTCTCCCATATGATTTTAGTTTTAATTTAATCAAAGATGTTCACCAGATAAGGGACGAAGTATTTCTATGATTTAGATGGGTGCCAAATGCTGAATAACTGTTCAAATAGCTTATGTGATTTCCAAATAGAAAATACCCATTTTCTAGTTCTTGACAGCTGCTTAAAATTAAATCTTGCTTGATATGACTGGGGGAGCTTTCCCCTGCCTTTTGTAGCTTTCTTTCTGTGTTGTTTCCCTTGTTATCCAAAAAAATAAATATTAATAAATTTAAGCAGATACCCCATATAGCAGTCAAAACCCCACCAGTTACAAACTCTCAAGGTAACTAAAAATTGCTGGCCTTTACGTGGTAACAATTAGTTGGAGAATAAATTAGACCATTATTGATTGCACAGACCACCGTATCACAAATCAGGACTTCCAGTCATTCATTTTCCCCTTATCACATATTACCTCCCAAACATTTGGACACTACCTTTTTCTAGGCAAGTGCATTCCTTCAAACATTTAAATCAACAAAACATGTGGAACAAAAGCTTCATTTTCTTCATCTCTCATTTATGCAATAACAGAGCCCTCATCCTACTAATTGTAAATCTGCAACCCCTCACAAAATTGCTGGGCATTATTGTAATTCTTGAGACCATAAGACTTGAGGAACAACCCTTCTAAATAAACACTTCCAAACCATTAAAAAAGATAATCTTAGTCTCGGTGATACAATCTAAACAAATGGAAAAGCTCCTGCTATGCAAAATAAAATGGTTGATTCAAGTATTGCATGGACCATGGGGTATTGAAAGTAGTACATTCAGATGCTGATCATAGCATGGGTTGAAATGTGTAATTTATAACAGCATTTAGTAGCAGATGGCTACTAAAGTCAGTAACCTGGAGACATGCAGCTCAAGTTAATTAATTTTGTTCAATTGAATCATGCTTTTCATGTGGTAAACTTGCTACCTCAAAATTAAACTTCAAATTACTTATACTTTTAGATGATGGAGCAAAAAACAATATAAAGTACAACAAAAGCAGAAAAAACACAATGAAATAGAGGTCGGCATAACTAACCGCCTTGGCAAACTCAATTTTAAGTGGCATTCCTGCAACAAGAACCCCTTGAAGTGTTTTCATTGCAACAATTGCATCTTCATCTCTCCTAAAGTTAACAAAAGCATAACTACGACCAGGTTGGAAAGCAATGCTATCAAGTTCTCCAAACCGCAAAAACTGCTCTGATAAAGCAGACTCATTTAGGTGATGAGACAAATTCCCAACCCATAGGTGTCGGGATGGAGGGTTGCTCCGCCCTTGATGACCCTTCTCCTCAAACCTTGGCGAGTACTCCCTTCGGAATCTATCTCTTCCTCCCCTACCAATCTGCAACAAATGGCATAAGATCATCATGGTCAGAAAATCATCTTTAAATACCAGTTCAATTTCAATTCAATTCGATAATCAAATTATGGAACTAACAAGAGAAAGGATTCACTCTAGAACAACCAAAAGGAAAACAAGAAAAGGAGGACATCTAGTTTGAAGCACAAAAATAAAAACAAACATGGAAAATTAAATATATTCTCTCATTCAAATTGAAAATTAAACAGTGTATCACTTGTGCCCAACCAATCTACAGGAAAACATACATCCATCATGCTCAAACAATCTCTTAATAAATGAACTCCTATTTTGTTTCACACCAACAATAGAAAAAAATTGCAAGCAATAACATTGCCACTCAGCCACTGAACTGGAACATTTCCAAAAATGCACACACTCATCTCTTTCTCCCAAACCAATCAGCAGTAAAACGTATATAGCCCTAAATGTCATAAAATAATCACTTAACTCAACAGAGACTTTGATCCCAACTATTTAGGGTTAGCTATGTGGATGTTGTCTCATTATTGCACTCTATCACACCAGAAAGTAACCTCCAACAAATTAATCCAAATTCACTTCATAACTCCATTCAATAAAATAAGCAAAACGAATTCAAGCTAAATTTTGGAAATCCGAAAAAAGAAAAGGAACTAAGAGAACAGATTGGTTATAATGCCTTTGAGTTCAAATAAAAAAAAATATATACATTCATTACTGCCTTAACAATTCACATCAAAACCTACACTCAACAAGGTCCGAAAACAATCTATGAATCAACTAGTCCAGTACCAATTTCGCTTCATCAATCAAATCAATGAACTAGAAAGTAATACGGTTTTTCCCTAAAACTCAAAAAAAAAAAAAAATCCAGAAGAACCAAGTAAAGAGATTGAATCATTGTTCCTTTAAACTACATAAAGTACAACATACGCACTCATTACTTCCTTTCCTAAAAATCCATAGCAAAGAAGAAACACATCAAGGTCAGCAACTATCCTTTGAATAAACTAATCTAGTTTCGACTTCATTCAAATAAAGTTTATTCATCAACTGTGTTATTTATCTAACAGGTCAAATGGGTTCCAACTAGAAGTCAGGAATCTAAAAAAGCAATTTAAAAATAAAAGAAACTTCATACAGGAAAAAGGAAACCTAGAAATAAATTTGAAATCTCATCGACTTTGGAACTTGAACTTAAACGTGTATTCAACCCAAACATAGATAACGAAATCAAATCTATTAGACCAGTCACATAAAACTGAACAAAAAAGAGAAAATCTGCAACAAGATGACAGAAACCCTAGTAACGCACTAACGGATTTTAAACTCACCATTTTATCAAATCTTTGTAGTCGAAGAAAAGGCAGGAAGCTATCAGCCTATCACAGAGTGAGACTGGGAACTGCGAAGGCAATGGACTCAAGGGTTTTGAGGCCACTGACACACGTGGTGGTGGCGCGTATGACGAGAGATTTCTGTTTGTTAAATAGTGTATGAATCGTCTATGGGAACAGAAGGATAATGGACGAAAAATAATCCGCCACGCCAACCTAATCCCATGGCTCACGTGTGATTGGCATAGTATACACATGGGCCAGGCTTGGGCCAGACCTTGCCAAGTCCTGATGCGGGCCTATTATTAAACGGACCTAAAAGTCGGACGCGTGTCCATCCAGACCACATTGCTTAGAATACAACTATACAAGGAGAGATTGGCTTATCTGCTGTCACCGAAGAGAGTAGGCCCTGTTTGGGGCATCGTTTCCATGCAACGAATTCTTTTGGTATAACACATGAAATAACTTGTAATTGGCATTCCCATGGAACAGGAAAATATGTTCATGAAATGAGGATTTTGCCATTTCTCACGAAATTGACAAACGTGCCATTCCCATGCTTATTTAAAAAACTGAACATGTGTGCGACCCCATTCACATGTAAATGGGGTTATTTTGGTAAAACCACAAAACATTAGAATCTCATGCAATTGATAAGCCCTAACCTCTTGATAGGCTACCTTTTCCTTTTTCCTCTCGATCCATCAATCCTTCCTTCATGGTTAGCTCAATGAGACAGTTTATATGAAACCTACTCCAAGGTACTATAGTGATCCCTCTCTCTTGTCAGTAGATTGAAGAAGTCTCTCTATGGTTTGAAACCAACTCCCCAAGCTTGGTTTAAGTGGTTTTGTAGTGTTGTTGTTATTGTCGGTTATAGTAAGATCTTATGACTATTCTCTCTTTGTCCATAGAAGATTTCAAGACATCACCATCCTCTTTTAGTATGTTCATGATATGTTGTTGATTAGGGATGATGATGAGGGAATTAGAGAACTTAAATCCCTACTTTATAGTTCATTTCATATGAAGAATTTGGATGATCTCACCTACTCCCTAGGACTTGAGGTTCAAATAAATGATCAAGGATATTTCATATGTCAACAAAAGCATGTATCTGATTTTATCAAATTAGTTGATCTTGCTAATGACAAGCACGTTAATATTCCCTTGGAATTAAATGTCAAGTTATCCAAAATAAAGGGTTCACTACTTCTTAATGCCACACTTTATCTACAACTTGTAGGCTTTCTCATTTATGTTACTATGACCTATCCTGAAATCTCCCAGGTAGTTCAAGTTGTTAGTCAATTTATTTATGCCTCACGTTAATCCCATGTAGCTCATTGGATTATTCAATATATTCATGGAACTCTATCTTAGGGCTTGTTCTTTTTCCTCCTTTCCTATTCAATTGAGGGCATATGTAAATGTTGATTGGCTAGGTTGTCTTGACACTAAATGCTCTTCTACAAGGGTGGTGCTTCTTCATGGATAATTCCCTCATTTCTTTGAAATATAAGAAACATCAGCCTTCAAGTCATCTATAGAAGTAGAGTATAGAGCTATTGTCATTTGTCTGTAATGAGATTGTCTAGCTACAATCCCTATTCCTCTTTATGCCGACAGCATTAGTGTTATCAAGATTACCTCGAATCCAATTTTTCCACAAGAGGACTAAACATATTGAAGTGGATCATCACTTTATCAAAGACTTATTCCTTGTTAGTTCTACTTTTCGTCCTTATGTAGCCTCAGATATGCAAATTGCTGACATTTTTACCAAAGTTATGACCATAGCAAGATGTCTCTTTCTTGTGAGCAAATTGATGCTTATAACTTTGTATTAGTTTGAGGGAGAGAGAATGTAGAGAGTATTGATGTATTCTACTATTATAGCCCCTATTGTATTGTATATTTTATTCTCTTGGCTTTTCTCTTTTAGCCCTATAAGGGTTTTCTCATAATCCTTTAGGACCATAATGTTAGACAGTATATACTCTTAGTTCCAATCAGAATGATGTATATAAACATTTATTTGTAAATGAATAAAATACACTGTTGTTTCAGGTTTATACTGGTATGTTTCTGTGTATTACCCCTTAAACTGGATACTTAAGAGACTCATGTTACTTTAGAATGTTCTCAGCCATTAGGTAGACTTGGAGAAGGTTGACACTAGTGTGTTGCCAAGGAGTTAGAGCAGCATGTTTTAGCTGCTAGGGTTAGACCCCAAGCACAACCAGTGGATGTTTATTATAAGCGTCGAACCCGGATCAATTTCTAGTTATGCCCTAGACCTTGGAGATAGATGGGCAAACCTAGAAAGTTACACATAACCCCTGACTTGATTATGGAACTACACTAGGTGATTGGACTGGGTTGTCTTTGATATACTAACCAGTGAGATCCATTTAGGATCAAATACCTGGGTAGGTTGAGGCAGTCTATGAATTCACCTGAATAGGTGATCATAGTGGTAGGATCGGCCCCTTTGTCGGATAAAGTGAATATCAGGGTTTACACTCTCTCTGATGGAAACCTAAACTATTGGCAGTGGATTTCACCTATGTTTGAAATCTGATTTTTGCAAAATGTATTTATGTGTTATATACTACTATTTTATGAAGAAAAAATGTTTGCAAAAGGTTTTAATTACATGATCAATTTGAGTAGAGAGTGCGACACTGCACCATGCAGCTAAGGAATAGGTCCTTCCTTGTCGGGTATTGTTTTGATCATTATGGGCCAAGAGGTTAAGTGTAAGAGACCATTACAGGGTTGATTACCTAATGGGATTTGTCTTTCATGAGTCCATTGTCCTTGGATATTCATAGGGTGGTTGAATCCAAAGATCATTGTTGGGCCCAAACTAGAACAGTGCTGATTGGGTACGGGGTTCACTACCCTGAGTAGTGAATTTGGCCTAGCCTCTTTCATAGGTTGGGCCGAACCCATGTGGCCATGTGTGAAATCATTGTGGGGTTCCACGTCATACAATATCAGGCCAAAAGTGGCCATGCAACACCTTAGGTCGTGAGCTTTTGAAATAAATGGGCCTAAGGCCCAAAATTAATAAGATTAATTAAGCTATCGCATGAGCTCTGGATCAAATCTGGGTTTGGTATTGGGTATGGAGCACCTATCCTCTTAAGAGGATAAGGCTTATTTCTTAATAGAGTCTAGATCCAAATCAGATTTGGATAATCTCCTAAATAGATTAGGAGAGTGTTCCATAAAGAGATAAAAGAAGAAGAGGTCGAACCAAACCATAATACTTCTCTCTCTTGTTCTCTCTTCTTTTCTTTGTCTCCCAAGAAACCCTAATTCAAACTAGGCTTTCAAGAACTGATTTTTGATCAATTTTTCTTCAAGTTTTTGCAAGATAAACATTGAGGAAGATCAGGCTCACACACCCCATTCGATCCAAACAAGTTGGATAGCAGTTTTGGAGAAAACAATGTTGTTGAACCGGTTTTACCTATACATTGCGCCATCTTCAGTGGAGGTTGGTTTATGACTGATTTGGGTGTAAACTTCCACCTTGGGATCTATGCTTGTGGTATCCATATCAGGTATATTTTTCCCTTTTGATATGGTTTCAAATTTAGTCTGATTCAGTACAAGATTAATCTGGAAAATTACAATTTTTCAAAACACTAGGAAACCAGTTCCCAAAAGGGTTAGAAAATTTGTGAAATTTCGCCCAACCATCTAGTATGGTTTGGCCATCCATAAGATTGATTCTAACCCTTCCAACACATAAGGGATTACTTGTAAATACTTTAAGCCCATAAGGGCTTACTTATAAATATTCATAACATAATATAGGCTCTTTGGGGTGGGGTCGAATTCATTTTGTTGACACCCTTGAAACCTGGTGTTAAACTCTTTTTTGTTTAGCTTATCGTCAAAGAATGTCTTCCTTCATGGCCAACTAAAGGAGAGTGTATATGAAACCTTCTCTTGGATACTACAATGATCCTTCCCTTGTTTGTTAGTTGAAAAAGTCCTTCTACAGTCTAAAATAGGCACCCTGAGTTTGATTTAAGAAATTTCATGATGTCATTGTTGCCACTGGGTATACTTAGAGTATTAATCATTCTCTCTTTGTTTGTAGAAGGCCTCAAGATATCATAATTCTCCTATTGTACGTTGATTATATGTTGTTGATTGAAAGATTCTAGTGGATCCTTGTTATTTTACTGTAATGGAAATTAAAAATTAAAGAATCTTTAATAACCAAGATCACACCCATGGTGGTGCACAAAACCCTAATTGTGAAATAAAACTATATACTTGTTACGTAGATTCAATTTGATGTAGTAGATCCTTAGGAAATTGATTCTAACTAAAGCCTCACAATTGTTTGGCCTCCAAGGTTGATTCACATTAATCAAAAGCTGTCAAACTTCCTAATTCTCCATGTAAAACATGATCCAAGAGAAGAGGAGAGGGAAAAGGAGGGTTGGATGGCTTCAAGATTGTGCTAGCAATCTTTTGATAGCTAGGGTTTTACAATAGTGTGTATTCTCTAACCCTTGGGACTTAGGGTGTTCATTTGATCGGTTCGATTTGGTTTGGAAATAAAAACCTAATTGACATTTCAATTAAGTCATTTCATGAATTGGTTCAATTTTGTTTTAAATTAATTAACTTGGTTAGTTAAAATATAAGTGTATGTTACATTTATATTAATAATTAAAATATATCAAAATTTATAATTAAAATACATATTATATATTATTATTAACATAAATAGTAATATTAATATTTACTTAAAATATAAATATATGTATTTATTTTAGTTAATTCGGTTTTTGGTTCAATTTTTTTCAACTCAAACCGAAAATCGATATTTCTAAAATCATAAAAAAGAACTGAATAAAAAACCAATGTAACCAAATTGAATTGGCTTATTCAATTTGGTTTGGCTTGATTTTTGTTTTGATAGATGAATTTGAACACCCCTGCTACAGACACCCCTTCTATATCATATATAGTTTTCACTCATTTTTTCTGATTAAGAAATTATCATAACTATAATTAGGTCCCTAATTATTATAATTAGGTTCCTCTACTAAGACTCTTCTTAGTGAGCACACACTCCTCCATACTTTGTCT